AATAGTAATAATAGCTAGACTATTAATTAGTCGTGGTTAACGTTAAAAACTAAACCCTAGTGGTATTGATACTAGGTTTTGTCGAGGAAAATTGTTTTGAGATAACGAAGTGTTGTCTGAGTTCGGAATCACCACCTAATCAGGTGAGTGCATAGTCCCTTTCATCTTACACATAGATATGAAGTATTTAATATAAACTACGTGCTATGTGTGCATATTATCTGAATACTTGTTGTCTATGTTGGATGAACGTTTTATACATGTTTTAAAGGATTTAAACTGTATACGTATTTTATATATACGAATATGTGGGGTATGATGATGGGTAGATAGATGATGAGAGATAGAAGATGATGTGAGTATACATTGGCAGCTATAGACTTAGTGCCTATGGGACAATACCGGTAGCTATGGACTTAGTACATGTCAGACGTTGGTAGATATGGATTTAGTACCTATTAGAAATTGGTAGCTATGGACTTAGTACCTATTAGTTAGACGCTGGTAGCTATGGATTAAGTACCTGTAGGAATTGGTAGTTATGGACTTAGTACCTGTTGAACGCTGGTAGCTATGGATTTAGTACCCGATGAGTAGGATATAGCAGCTATGGAATTAGTGCTTTACGAACTAACATCGGCAGCTATGGATTTAGTGCCAGTCCTATAACCCTGGAAGTAAGGGACTTCGGAATAAACAAATGCAGGATAGACGACTCTTAGGTTAAATCCTTAAGAGTAAAGAAGATAACGGGGATGGGTAATGGGGTTAATTGTTTGATGATTAAACATAACAATTATATTATTGTGGGTTGAAAACCCTATGTACTCACCAGGTTTCCCAACCTGACCCACTCAGTTTATGTATATCACAGGTGTTGATATGAAGTCACTTTACACTGAGAGATTTAAAGAGATGTAGATCACTAGTGTAAATAAATGTAAGTTCTGTTTATGCTTATGTTTCTGTATTAAGGATGACATCCCAAACGTTTTAAGATGAATAAAAATACATTTCTTCGAAAATGTTTTAATAACGTATTTATCGTGTTTTTCTGGGAACAAATTCCGCAACCTTTTTATAAAATGAAGTTCTCTGATTTTTATAAAGCATAAACAAAATCGGTCTTTTCTGGCCGTGATTTTGGGGATGTCACAAATGTCATTCGTAACAAAGCGAGGCTGGTGGTCAAAGGATACTGTCAGGAAGAGGGAATCTATTATGAAGAGACCTTCGCTCCAGTTCCAATATTAGAGTATGTTCATATCTTTCTTGCTTATGCATCTCACAAGAACATTGAAGTCTATCAGATGGATGTCAAATGTGCCTTCCTCAACGGTGAACTTGAAGAAACCGTATATGTTGAGCAACCGCCAGGCTTTGTGAATGAGAAGTATCCAGATCATTGTTATGTCCTTGACAAAGCTGTATGTGGCCTCAAACAGGCTCCCAGAGCATGGTATGAAACTCTCACTCATTTCTTAAAATGTTTGAATTCAAACAAGTTTCGGTTGACCGAACCTTCTTTCATAAGCGAGAAGGTAACCACCTTATGATAGTCCAAATTTATGTTGATGACATCATCTTCGGCTCTACGAATCCTAGCTTAATAGCTGAATTCAGAAAGTTGATGGAAACTAAATTTAAAATGAGCTCAATGGGTCCAATTAACTTTTTTCTTGGATTGAACATTAGACAGGGACCCGAAGGAATTTTTATTAATCAGGAAGCATACACCAAGACTTTATTAGCTAAATGATGGGAGACTCCAAAGTGAAAGTGCTTATGGCATTTGGAACTAAGCTTACACCCTCTTTGGAGAAACCAGCAGCTGACGTGACACTCTATCGACAAATGATTAGATCTCTGATGTATCTTACAGCCAGTAGACATGACATCATGTTTGCAGTCTGTTACTGTGCAAGATTTCAATCAAACCCACGCGAACCTCATTTAGAAGTTGTGAAAAACATATTTCGCTATCTGAAGTGAACCTCCTCTCTCGGTCTGTGGTATCCAGCCAACTCATGATTCTTTGTTCAAGCATTCTCAGATGTTGACTTAGGTGGCTGTGGATTAGATCGTAAAGGCACAACTGGAGGATGTCAATTTCTAGATGGTAAATTGGTTAGTTGGAAATCAAAGAAACAAACTTGTGTTTCTCTATCCATTGCAGAAGCTGAATACATTGCTGTAGCATCCTGCACATCTCAAGTCATTTGGATACAAAGTCAACTCAGGGATTACGGGCTAAACATGAAGAAAACCCACTATATTGCGACTCAGAAAGTGCAATTAGGATTTGTCACAACCCAATGCAACATTCGAAGACTAAGCATATAGCACTGAGGTACCATTTCATCAAGGATCACGTCGAAGATGGTAACGTAGAAATTCACTCCGTCACAATGACTGATCAACTGGCAGACATATTTACAAAGGCTTTACCTGAAGCGAGCTTCAATAAGATTCTACAAGGCCTAGGAATGATGCAAGCTAAATATGTACCAAAAACGTCTTCGCTTTCATAAAAGTAACAAGCGAAATAGAGCAAACCGAAATGAACTGAACGTTCGGTCTATTTCGGGTTCAGTCTATTTCGGGTGAAGTTCGACCAAGAACCGAAATGAACCGAATGTACGGTCTATTTCGGGTTCGGTCCTTCTGAACTCGTTCGCTTCTTTTTCTTAACAAGGCATTTTAATTGTATTCCTTTGTAATCTTTTTCATTCCTTCTTTTCCACATATAAAATTCCAAAAATATTTTTCACTTTTATTCTCATAAAAATACTTATAAAATCCAAAAATATTTTTCTCTTTCGTTCAATTGGTCAATTCTCACAAAATTCAAATATATATATATATATATATATATATTTCATTTCTTTCTAACACTTTTATTTGTCTAAGTGTATTTCTCGATGGTGGAGCTCAAGCAGGTATATTTACTTCATTTTATTCCATTAGTTAGGTTTCCCTAGAAAGATGCTGTTGTATGTTGACTAAAGCCTCGAAAGATTTGAGTGAAGCCTTAATAACATGATATATACAATTCATGTTTTCCGAATTCAGGGTGTAATATTCACTCTTATCATGAGCTACCTTACTCTACTCATATTGAGTTTAGAGTTTTTTGCTTGGTCACTCTTTTCTTTAAAGCAGAGGTACATTCGCTTCATATACCATCTCCAATATTTTTCTCCATTATACTTCGTATCACCAATATAACCCCTGAGACTCTCAGCATTTACCACTGAGGTTTATGGTTATACAAAATCTGTGATAACGATCTTAGTCTCATGTCACTATGTACTAAGTGAAACCCACAATTGAACACCTAAAATGAATTGATGGTGAATTCTCATATTCAAGAGCTTACTTGTTACCTAAAGGAATCTCTTTTTATTTTTGTGTGATCTTGTATGAATTTGTCTAAAACCAAGGCTTTTCTTCCCTAAAAGATCCAGTTTATTTTTTTGAGATTTCTATCCTTCCTTTTGTTACTATAAAAAGATATCTTACCTATTTGTTCAACAGATCGAAATGATCTCACAAGTACTTCATTCAGTTTCGGTCTCATGTCAAGTATCGAATTCATGAATTGAAGTGAGAGCCACTCTTTATAACCTTTAAAAGATGCCTTTCAATACTTCTTAACAAGTAATTGATCGTTATTTAATGGGAAACCAAGCAAGCACTTCAATGTCTCTCTTGACTTTGAAGGAAGTGATTCATGCCTAGAATCCATTGTTTTCTATCTATTTAAGGCATCACAAATTATCCCAAAACATTTGCTTTATTTCTTTATCTTTCACACTCTATGCACAAAAATTTTAATTTTCCACACTCTGGTTCTATTAATGTTGTTCAATAAAGCATCACACGCAGTGACGATTCAAATGTTCAAGGAGTGACGATTAGGATAAAGCGGAAGCTGACTCATCATTCATCCAATCGGTTTGGTAATTTGAAAAAGCACAAATTATGGAATGTCGTGCCAAAAAGGAAAAGACCTTTCTCTTTCATGCGTCATCCTCAGTATGCCAACTGTTCACACGTCAAGTCAGGCGCTATTATTGAAATAATCCATGATCTTAGCCGTATTTTTCTCTCTCCTAACGGTACTCTTTAACCTTTACCACTTCCCAAATTCTCTCAAAGAACAACGGCGATCTCTCCTACTGTTCATCATCTTCTTCAAGCAACTACAATGGCAGATTCTTCGTCAGTTCATGATACTTCCGTTCATCAACCATTACTCACCATCAAACCACAACAGAACCTGATCATCGACCTCACTACGTTTGTTTATGAGCCTTACATGTTGTACGTTGTTGAGTGTCTCAAATACTCAACGCTCGTCGAAGCGCTCACTAAGGTCGAAGTTGTTCCAATGTCTTGCATTTCACTTGTTTACTCTACTGCCTACAACGACAAGATTCTTGAAAGGATTCACTTTGAAATCCACAATGAGAAGACCTCTATCTCCAAGCACCGCTTTTGTGCCCTAATTGGTCTTTCTCAAGATCAATCTCTGGTAAATCCTGAATCCATTACCACTGGTCAACTGTTTTCTATGTTTTATCAGATGGGATATACCGACCCTTACCACCATCGCAAAGTTCAAGAAGTCTTGCCTTCCTCCTCAATGGAATGGCCTTTTCATGCTGCTTTTCAAAGGACTCTCTGAGCAAAGTGATGGCTCAGATGGTGCAAGCAAGCCTTTCATGATTGTGCTATATGGGTTGTACCATGGGATCAACTTAGATTTTGGGACTATCATCTGGCAGCAGTTGGTACAAAGCTTGGTCTCTTCCTCCAGGCACTCTGAGATCTCATGTGGGATATTTTGGACGACCATCACCAATTGGGCAATGGACCTCCTTCATGTTCCAATCATGGCGGATTCTCTTCTCTCCTCCATTGCTACCTTTCATACTACGAAAATTATTCTCACCAATCCAACCAAGTACTCATTTATTGGATCTATTTCGGAGGCCATGCTCGCTCCTATCTCTGCCTCAAGTAACGTTCTCCAACAATACATGAAGCATCTGTCTTCGGGTCCGAGGGAGCTTACCCCAGCCATGGTTCGCTCTATTGACGAGGCTGAAAAAGCTGCAAAAAGGGGTAAGAAACCAGAAACCCAAAAAGAAGCACAAGTTTCCAAACCCACCAAGGCAAAAACCCCTCTGAACCGAAAGTCTGATCGGGCTGTTACCTCACCTCCTAAATCGAAGAAGTTGAAGAAAAATCCCACTGGGAGGCTCATACTACAATCTTCGAGTGACTCAGATTCAGAGTATGTTCCTCCCCAACACAAGATTTCTTCTCCCTCAGAATCTGAGAGCAAAAGCTCTGATGATGAGGCTTTGGGCCGAGGTGACACTCCGCCTCGTTCTCCTACCCCATAAATTCCAGTTCGCTCTCACCCTCCTTCACCTCCACCTATAACCATCCCTGTATCTATCCCTCCCATTTTTCCCATTCCAACCACTCAACCATTCACTATAATTCCCATCCCTACTCCCACATTCACAGACACAACCACTACCACAACAGGTGCTCGTTCTACCGCCCCCACTCCACCAATAACAATCGAACCCCCTGTTACAACCGAACCTCCACCTACTTCAAAACCCTTGTCTCCCACATAATCCACTGAAACAACCTCTACTCTAGGCGGTAAGGAGTTGGAATTTGATTCCACATATTTCAGTCCTTACCGTGTACAGAGTGATGATGATGATGATGCGCTGGTTACAAAGCGTCATCTCAAAGCAGTAAACGAAAACCTTGATCAACTGCTCTCATCCTCTTCCTCTGGAGCTTACTCTGAAGAATCTTTAAAGGCCTTGTTCTCGTATGTTGTCAAAGAACATAGTGCCTCACTCTCTGCTGCAGCAAAAGCTATTGAAGCCTCTACTTCACAGTGTCAACAAGCCTCACTTGTTGTTGATGCTTCCATCAAGGAGTGCAAGGAAGCGACCGCAAAAGTCGATAAACTAGTTTCTGACACTCAAGTGCTTTTAGATTCCTTGTAGGCTGCTGCTCAGAAGAATGCTCAAACTGTCAATGCTTCGGTGGATAATCTTCATCGGTCCCTTCAGTCTGACCGATCCAAACTTGAAGCTACACGCCAAGCGATTGAAGCTGCAAACGCCTCTCTACAAGCTAATGTCAATGATCGTCTCACTCAGCTTAGGCCGAATTGGCTATAGAGAATCGCATCATGGATGAGCTTGATAGGCGTACGTCACAGCTAAAAATGCAAAACCTCAAGTTTCATACTGCTACTACTGAGCTCAATGATCTAAAGTCGGAGAAGGAAGTCGTTCAGAGTTTGGTGGCTGATGTTTACTCCATCCTCCTTCATCTCGTTGAAGCACATGATCCAATTATCACAATTACCACCAGACATCATCTGGCTGATAAACTTAGGCTAGCATTGGATATCCTTAGCCGTATCAAGGGTGTTCTGGTGACTGGTGTCCAGCCGAAACAAGGGGAAGAAAAGCCAAATCAACCTCCTACTGAACCGAAACCATCATCTGAACCGAAGGGTAATGAAGCTTCGGTCAATAACAAAGGGAAGAAAAAGAAGAAAATTGGAGAAGATGAAACAGATGATGAGGATGACGTATATGCCGAAAATCCTAAAAATCTGTTTCAGAAGACAAAGCTCTCTGAAAAAGAGCTAGAAGAAAAACTCAAGAAACAACAAGCTGAGATGGAGCGAAAGAACAAGGAGACAGAGCTCCTAGAGAAGAAAAAATCCATGTTTCCCGTGTGGACTCCAGTTTCGCTCTAGAGATGCGCAATTGATGATCCAAGCATTCTTTGGCTTGAGCCAGTTATGTCTTTTGGGCTCGAGAACTCCAAGGACACACAGTTTGACATCCCAATCACCCGAAAGGCATTTGTCTTCCATTGCTTTTATTCGATTTCTGTTGTTCCTTCCCCAAACCCGAAGGTAGATAGGGATCCGGTGGAGTTCTACCTGGAGTTTGCTCAATGCCAGTACTTGACCTGGAGTTTGAAAAAGATCACAAATGTCAAGGTTTTAAAGCCTTACTCAGCGGGGAAGTTTTTCAATGTTCAATTCAAAGTGACTCGAAGCTCCGAAGGCTCGGTTCACAACTTCACCCTCGCTGATCTGCTGAACCTGAATCCCCATGATTGGATACTCCTCAACAACTTCTGTCAAATCCTAAGGAGTACCAGCCAATAGTTGATCATATCAAGCGTATGCTTGTTTGCTACATACACGAAGTGGCGAAGATGTACCAGGAGATTGCCTCAGCTATTCACAAACGAACTACAATCAAAGCTATGGGCAAGGCTGGCAATGTCAACACTATGGTCAAGGAGAAGATTGATACGGTTTACCAAACTGTTATGTTCCTCAGGGGCGAAGGTCAAAAATGTATGTTCGCTCTTGTTGACAAACACCTCTTCTCAACATCATTCCTGGAGCATATCTTAGAAATCATCCAGAGGTGTGATCAGAACAGTGTTGCTGATAAGAAATTATTCATTGACATGTTGAGGTGGTACTTACAGTTTCGACAGACACTTCTTGCAATAATTCCTTGTTTCTTTAAAGTTATAAAGACAATGAAGCCCACACAGAAGAAATGATCTCTCGCCTCTTTTGACGCAAAGGGGGAGATTGTTGGGGTTAATAGATTGTGTCATGGGCTCGGTCCTTAGCCCACTTTTTATTTCCTGTATTGGTCCTATCCAACCGTTCATGTTTTGTACTAGGGTTTAGTATATAAGTTGCATGCATGAAGTCTTAGTTAGCATCGCTTTTATTATTGTATTTACTCTAAGTTTTGTAAACCCTAACTCGCCTCTACAGCGGAAGTTCTTTGTCGAGCTCTGCTGAGGCGTGACTTTATTTTGAATCATAAGCATACATTTGATTCCATCCTGTGTTTACTTTCATACTATTTTTGACTTGTTCGATTTCTATAATCATACCTGTGAAAGATCTAATCGATCTAGAGTTTTTGTTCTCATCAGAATCGCTAAATAAAGAATGCACCATTTTCAATGATCGATATTTTTACACCTTCCTCAAAATAGCATTGTACTTTGGAATTTCCAGTGAGTTCCTAAACTCTCAAACTTGTTTTCATACATACCCTGACTCCTCGTAAACTTGTATTGTTTTCACGTAAACAATTAAACTATTTTTCAAGAGAGTAAACTAAATATTTCTATATAAATTCCCTTATTGGCGATTTGAACCTTTAACTTTAAGTTATCGTTTTATTATTTTTCTACTTTGATTAATCGTCACTCATGTATCTTCATTCTCTTGAAATTATTATACATTTTAATAATAATGGGATTTCTTGCTATCTACACAATGTGATTTAATTTATAATTAACTTGTATCGCCTCCATTTGCAAAAATGAGTCTCTCTCTCTCTCTCTCTCTATCTCTCTCTCTCTCTCTCTCTCTCTCTCTCTATATATATATATATATATATATATATATATATATATATATATATATATATATATATATATATATATATATATATATATATATATATATATATATATATATATATTCTTTGAGTACGATTTTATTATAGAGAGAGTACCAGTAGTAGTAAATATAGATTCAAAACCATTTTGTAATTTCTTTGATAGATGACACTTAAGTAGTCTTTACATTTGAGATGTACCAAACTCCGTTGCCTACCCTTAGTATGTATCTTTAGGAACTTATCCTCAATCGCTTTTCTTTCATTCGTGCTACCCATTCTTATTTCGGAATATATCTTTTCCAGATATAGTAGCCAGCCCAAAAGCGAACAAATTGTTCCTAATCTCTTCGTTATTAGGCGGAAAATTTACACGTAGCGATGATTTAGAATGAGACTTAAGGATTAATGGAGACTTAACACTTAATGTAGTTGGTGCTTCAAAAAAACTTATAGCACTCTCTTAAGTTAGAAAACATCTAACTAGATAATCTTTTTCGAGTAGGTCGCCATGGTTGGGTCATGATTTCCATGATCCTAATTTCCCACAATCTAGACTGTAGAACTCAAATTAGGGGAACATTAATTTGATTATATCTAAAGAGTTGGGCTCTTCCCTTGAGGAATTAACCCAAAATAATCAAAGAGCTTTTCAAGTCACCACCTCTCCAACTATACAATTGTATTCGGCTGAGTTCTAATAGAATACGTCAAGAATTGAATTTCGCTACAAAATTATTTCAACCGGGAGAGAGACTGTGACAACTGTCAAAATTCGAGTCGGTTCTAGATCTGACTAAACTTAGTTGCACATAGAGGCATGGCACAAACTAGACTTAGTAACTATATTCTAAGTTATAACCTACTAAAAAACTAGGAAACCATTAGAAACGATGGATAGTGTAATTAGATTTCACATTGATATGTGTATTCTACAACTACTTAAGTGTAGTGACTATCCATATTCGGGTCGCTCTTTGACTCGAACACCTTTTCTTGAATCATATACAAACATCATGCACTTGACCTAGTGGTATAAATTAGGTCCGAGTCTCATAGGAACTTAAGTTGAAGTTGAAAACTAGGGCTACTATACTTGATTCTTCAATTTCACTTCAATCTTGAAACCACTACATAGAATGCCAATAAATGGATAAAATAAATTACAAACGTTATTTATAACTATAAAAGAGTTATAATACCATAAGATAATATGAAGTCTCAAATATTCTATTTATTTTGATATCCAAAGATTTACAAACTCTCAAAATCCTAAAAGCCTTAAAACCTAAATTTTATAAAGTTTCACATCAAGAATTCTATAAAAATAGTTATGAAACTTATCATATTATCTTAAAATAATTAAATTCAGGGAAATATATTCAAGGAAAATAAAAATTTAACTCATTAACATTTACCCTTAGGTTAAAAATAAAAAAAAAATAAAGGTTTTATGAATAAAAACTTGATTTTTGTATATATTTTCTAAAAAGTTTGATATTTATATAAAACTGAAGTATTTTATACAAGAAATTGAATTCTTATAGAACTTGGAGTGGGAGGGAGTCTCTCTCCTCCTAAAAATTGTCCCCCTCTCCAAGAAAGCACATTAAATCATTTTTTTATCCTACACTCAACCATCTTCTTCACTTCTCTCTCTCACTCTTCGAATCCCCAACACCATTTTCTCTCTTCCTCTCTCTATAACCATGAATTTTTTTTCTAGAAAATGAAGCCAAAAACACACCTTAAACTCTAAATCTTCATCGTCTAGGGTTGTTCTTCAAGGTAATCACGAAAATCCTTCAAAATCTCAAGTTTTGTCACACATCTTCTTCTTCTACACCATTCTATACATGGATTATAAATCATATGTTCATAACCACGATTTTTATGATGTTGGCGGTAGTATT